AAAAAAAAAAAAAAAAAAAAAAAAAAAAAAAAAAAACACATCATAGTAAAATTAATACCTTCTCCGCTTCGCATCGAAGCTAAAAAAAATTATTATTTTTAAAAATCTGTCAAAAAAATTTTCTTTGACATTTATATTTAAAAAAAATTTTGACTGGTGATGAAAAATAGATCTACTACGACAATCCCAAGCACAAAAAGTCATATGTGAAACCTGGCTAACCAGCCAAATCAACGGCAAAGTCGAATATCCATCGCGCTAAGGTAATGCTCTGTATTTGGTGGGATCAGAAAGGTGTGCTGTATTATGAGCTGTTGAAATCGTACCAAACGATTACAGGGAACCTCTACTGAACACAATTGGTTCGCTTGAAGAAAGCAGTCGCCGAAAAACGCCTGGAATATGAAACCAAACACGAGGCAATAATTTTCCATCATGACAACGCTTGGCCTCATGTTGTAAGACGGGTTAAAAACTATTTAGAAAACAGCGGCTGGGGTGTTTTGCCTCACCCGCCTTATAGCCCAGACATTGCCCCTTCTAACTATCATTTGTTCTGATCGATGCAGAATGCCCTTTTTGGAAAACCCTTCACCAAAATTGAAGATATCAAAAATTGGAATTCATCATTTGTGGGATCGAATCCACAAATATCCAGAAAGATAGGAAAAAGTTATAACTACGGATGGGCAATACTTTGAATAACATTATTGTACATGTTTTTCTTAAATAAACATTCAAATTTTGAAAAAAAAAACGCACGAATTAAGTAATAGACCCAATAAGCTAACAAAAAATCAACTTTAAAAAACCAAAAAATAGGTTAAAAATAATATTTGCACTGATTATTTTTAAAATATTAATAATTAAAATCTGTAAACATTTAAAACACAATTTTATTGTGTTTTTAATATTTTTTTATCGTAATAAGTAATTTCAAAAAAAATATGAATAATTTCTTTGTAACTCTTGGTGTTTAAATAGATGATACAATTTCCTTATAGTTATGTCCTTTAGTTTTTAACTAATTAGTAATAATATCAAAAATTATTGGTGATGGAAAACATATAATTGATAATTTGAAATTAGCACGAAAAATTGAATAATAGATATGTATTTTTGACTCTGATGACAATTTTTTGCAGACCATTCATTCATAATTAACAACAAATTATGATCTAAAAAGTTTTGTGTACAGCCCTTCAATTTTTATACTAGTTTGCCATAAAAGTATTAACTACTTTATAATTTTTGTATATATTCTCTGAAAAAATTACAATACTAAATGATTATGCAATTTAAAAATACTTTATTTTAAATGCGCCACTAAAGTTTTTAACATTTTGTGATAAGTTCAGAATTCTCCATAAAAAGAACTTTCCTATTATAGCCGTTTTAAATGAAAGCTTGAAATCCTTTATACATACATAATTGAATATATTTAAAACGCTATGCCATTTTTTACTACTCGTCGAGAAGAAAATATATTACCTTGTAAGCGCCACAAAGTATAAATAATTTATTATACAATAATAAAATTAATTTATATATTAAAAAAAAGAACTTTCATTTAAATAATACCACGACTAACATTTAAATTTTAATTGAAACTATCCATGTTATGTTTCCTTGACGCTAACTCTTATTTGGATATAGTAAAGAACCTCGGGTCTTTGATATTTAGCCGCCGCCATTGAAAATTATTATATGATTGCTATTATAATATCTATCTCGGTGAGGTAATGATAATAAATTATTTTATCTGTCATCTCCAACTGGTTATTGTTAATTCGATAATGGTCCGGGGCGCCACTAACAGGTGGAAAGAAACTTGGGTAAATACAAAATGATAAATGCATCTATATGTTGGCAGCCAATTAGCAGATGAAACAAATATAAACACAATTCATTATTTGTTTATGTTCTACCGCCGTCAAAGTAAACTTTATATAAATATTGAGAATCTTTCAATAAATTATACCTGCACGCGAAAGTCATAAATATTATACTAATATAAAAATCTTCAGTGCTGGACTCATAATAAGTTCAGTGTAATTTAAATGAAAATCTTTAAAAAAATAATAATAATTTAGCTATTCAATATTTCATAATTTAGAAGTGTACAAGCATTTCTACAGTACTATGACATGAACATTTCTTAATTTACGGTTACCTATGATTTATAGATGGTTATTAAATTATAATTCTTTAAATTTAAAAGGATTCGTTAAATACTATTGTTTATTAATATTAACTTTTCGTACTGTTTAATCTAGAAATATCAAAAGATTTGTATATTTATTATATGGCTCACCTGTATTCGTGCTTCAGTGAGTCCTATTTTAGATGCAAGTTCTTCCCTGTAATAAAATATACCAAAATACGTTATATTCATGATAAAATTTTAAGTAATAATAAATTCATTGATTTAAGAAAATTTCAAGTCTGTGAATTTTTAGGTGTCATATATATATATATATATATATACATAAAATACGCTTCCTTTTCATTTTTTTCATCCCAAATTTCGATTGGCTGTATATTTAACAAGAGGTCATTATAATACGTGCAACATCATGTTTATAGACAAATATATTTTAATCGAAACATTTAAATGTCTACAAAGATTACAATATTCAAGACGTGTTTAAAAAATGAAGAAATGTAGATTTAAATGATTACATAGATCTACTTTATGAAAACAAACTCCATTTTTACCTTTGTTTAATGATATCATAAGTACTCATAAATTTAGCAAATAATAAATTTATAAATTAAGATTTCAATTTTTAATTATATTATGCTATAATTAAAGAAGAAATAGAAGCTATATAACATTTCATGTTAAAAATACAGAATATTAATAGCATATTAATTATAAGTGTACGACGAGTATAGCTAAAGGTTATTAATCGATAAACAACTTGCAGTAGTCTCATTTAGATATAAATTTCTAATCACAAAATGTATACATAAGAACCCATTACAGAACAAATAAAAGGGAAATCCATAAAAAAAATCAAGCTATCAAAATTAATTTGTAAATTCATTAAAAAAATTTAACAAATAATTTATAATTTTAGTTTGACGAGTAGTTGAAAATTTTAAATTTATCTATTATTTGTCGTTCGACTTGAAATTATTTTCCTATTGATGAATAAACTTCAACAAGTACCTGGTAAACACATCCGGGTAATGTGTTCTTCCAAATGCTTTTTCCAATTCGTCCAACTGAAAACTAGTAAACGTCGTCCGGTAACGCCGCTGTTTGCGTTTAGGTGCTCCGCCACTAAAGTCGTCCAGATCACCGCCCCCGCAATCGTCTTCATCGCCAACACTACCACCCCCATTTAGTGTGCTTGGCGTGCTGGTTTGTTGGCGTCTTTGGTACATAAGGCTCTCGTCATAACCAATAGATAACGAATGCCTCTGCTGTTGATCAATTCCGTCAACAGCTCCGTTTTGCAAACTATTTCGACCATAGACCTCAGGCGATTCTCGCATGACGTTATGATCTATTAACATAATATAACATTTTTCAATTAAATAAGTCAAATTCGAAATTTCGTTAATTTTTATTAATATTTTGTTATAAAGGTATACATATTAATTGTTATACATTAATGAACTTAAATAAACTTCGAATAAGTTTATTTTTGTTACTTATGTCAAATTTATTTTCAATAGTTACTTTGAGCTCAGGACGTTTAAAAGTTTTTAATCAAATAATAAAATAATTGATACGGATATTCTAATTGTATTATATAATATATGTATTAATATTAATATTATGTATTGTATTTTTTCAAACTTCTACACCTAATGAGCACATAAGATAAATATTATTAAAAAATTTAATTTTAAAATTAAAATTGAAATTTTATTACTGTTACAAAAAAATGAATAATAATTATATTTTTTAATTAATTAAATTATTGAATATTTTTGTTATACTTTCTATTAAAAATTAAATATTAGAATGATTTTAATTACGACACTTTAATTAATCGATAAAATTTGGTCATGAAATATTTATATTATTTATTTTTGTTTCTTATAATTTTTTGGCGCTAATTATGAATATACTCTTAGTTTTATTCTACGGTCAATATTTTAGCCACAATTTGAGCATTTATAAAATTATGGTTTTTCAACACAAAATGTCCATTAAAAAAATTATCATTTTTTTTTTCATTTTACCTTATTTACATTTATAGAAACATGATAGTTAGTTCAAACTTAGAAATCATTCCATAAAAATTCACCTTTGATATGCATTTTTAATGTTGTTATTATTTATCATATGTCGCACTTTTTATGGTTGGATTACTGTTGATACTTTTCATCCGCATTTGAATATTTCGTGTGTTCAGTTTAAACGTGGTGAACTATTTTTTGAAAACCTTAATAAACCTTAATAAAAACTTAATATTTAAAATAAGATGACCAATAATGTTGTGATAAGGAATGAAAGATCATTTATTATGTTTTTGTAATATTTATATAATAATTTGTTTAAAGGGAACTATATAAATTTATCCTATTTTTTTCAGAACTAAATATACTATTTTTCTTAATTGCATTAAAATTGCATCATATTTTTACTACAATGAAGATGTAGATATAGAAGGAATTCTGACTGCTCAAAATTAATTCATATTCTTACAACCTTGTTTCCTAGCATTAACAATAACAGATATTAAATAATTATCTCCATATCCTATGTCTAGAAGTTCAACTTCTAGCACAATTTCTCATCACACTATAGTGAATATCGATCAAAGAATTGGCCTTCTCGTGAAAATTGCAAAATTGATAATTTTGCAATTTATATGTAATTGTGCAATTCATATATAATTTCTCATTTTTTATAGACAGTTATTTAACTACTCAATTATACATACGAGGGAAGATTTGTAATAACAGATAGTGAACTTAATGAAGGCAGCTTATTAGATAACGGATAAAATTTCTTCAGAAAAGTTATTCTGAAAGAAAATTTATATTATTTAAAATTATAATCACCATCATAAAAAATGCTTCTTATTAAACTTTTTTTTAATTTATGAGGGTATATCTTTAACTAGATAATGGTTGCGATCATTTGATGTATCGTTAAAAAAAGTTGGACAAGGGAGGGTTAAGAAAATAGATAAAAGACATAAAAAAAAAATCACATTGTAAAAAAACTTTAATACGAGTAAGATATTTCTTCAAACGAGGAGAGACTACAGTGATGGCGTCCTTGATATTCAATAAAGTTATTGAATCTAAATGAGATAAAAATCAAATGAGTTAAATATTTTTTTCGAACTCAAAATTTTTTTAAGTAACTTAAAATAAAATAAAATACAAAATCAAAAATTTTAACACAAAAATAGCATACGGTAGCCATTTTCAACATAAAGACAAAATAAAGTCAGACATTTTTTTTCCATAATAAATTATATTACATAAGCTTAATTTTAAGATATATTTAAAAGTGTTAGTATTTCCGGAACACTTTCAAAAGTTAAGTTGAAAAAGTTGTCATTTTGAATTCCCCCTGTGGGCAGGTGGTAAAGAGTCAGGTTTATAAAAAAAATGTTCTAAATGATAGGTAAAGACATTATGCATCTATAAAAAAATTATATTGATTTGGTCATTTTTGATAAAGTTATGGCAGTTTTAAGTAAAAAAAATTGAACATTTTTCGAAAATTAGTGATTTTTAAATTTGTAATTTTTTTGGAGATTTCTCACATATACGGGAACCAGGGATTTTTATTCAATATTTAAGGGTAATGTCTTCGACTAGATACGATTTGTGATCTTTTAACGTATTGTTCATCAAAATCGGTCCAGCGAGAGCTGAAATTGAGCGTTCACAGACACAAAAAAAACACATCATAGTAAAATTAATACCTTCTCAGCTTCGTATCCAAGCTAAAAAGAAAGACGTTACGACAAGTGTCTTCTATAAGTAAAGGGACTATAAAGCCGAAAATCGTGTAATCTTAGATCGTTTTGTTAAATTTTTTTTTTAATTGTTTCATAATGTATTGGAGCGTTTTACGACAGAGCTTTTAATCACTGTTAGATATTAATCAAAAATGTCTCATCCCTACTTTGCAGATTCCCTATTAATTTTACTTACCTCAAATTATTCCTAGATGCACTTTTTATAAATTCTTACAGCTTAAAATAAAAACTCCCTTAAGTGAAACATTACATTAAAATTTGAAAACCTTATTTTCATAACTCAACTTTCTTTAAAACCGACATACATAACCTCGGCTAAATTATGGCTTCAGAATAAAAGATATAGAAATTATAGTTATTGTTTATTTAATTATTTATCAGATTGTAGTATCATAAAAAGCAATAGAAACTTTATAAATTCTTATCACATCGTTGACTAAATTTATTGAAGTAATGAACTAAGTTATAAGAGATATCAGTTTTTTCTGTCTTTAGATAGACCAATATCAAAACTAACCATCTAAATTACACAAGAAATGTTATCATATCTGGCTAAAATCTTTTTGGTTGTGTTATTATAAACATAGCAATTCTCAGAGGTACCAAATATCATGATTACCGTCGATGAAGGCGGTAATACGATCGAGTACGACGATGATACACGTCGTATAACAGAAATACTATTGACACACTTTGGTGATAGCCGTGCCGTACACATCGACGTCATAATGAACACAGTTCAATACTTTTTCGGTTTGGATATTTGGACGAATGATAGACTCTTCGAATTATACCAAAAATGTTTATTGGATTTGGTCAATGCTGGTCTAGTCATCGTAGACACACCAGAAGGAGTGGACTGCTGGTCAATGAAGCCCGAATAAAATATCTCGTCTAATACCATAAAGTAGACTAAAACTAAATGCAGTACATATTGTAGAACTCTAAAAAATGTTCTTTCCAACTATCGTCCAAAAAAAAATAACTAAAATTTTCTTTAAACCTATCTAAAAAAAAGACCACAATTATTGCATAGAGTATTTTTTAATATAATTAGAGTAAAAAATATTATAATATTTTAAATATTATAGATACAAAACTAAGTTATTTTAACATAAAAAGAGTGGTCCTTAAGGTAAGAATTTTTTCATCTTCGATTTGAAGCTGATAAATGTATTGGTTTTACCATGATGTGATATTTATTTTTTCTATTATTAATTCTCAGCTCCCTCTGAGCCATACGTGTATGCAAGTTAATTTTAGCTATGTTTAAAAATTCATATTAAGCGATTTTTAATGAAATTTTGAGCAACAAAAAAGTTGGTATTGGTATTTTGTGATGGTCTCAAAGTTTATGAATCGTTTTCGTCATCTTAACCCATAATTAAGAAAAGATAATAAAACAGCAATTTTTGGGAAAAGCTATAATTTTTAGTTAGAATGAAAAAAAAAATTATGGTATTGAATAAGATATTGAAAAAATACTAATGAAAATTTCAGACTTAAAATTCATTCGCAGAAGGCAGGAAAAATCATAAAAGCCTAACCTCATAATATTACCCCCACCTTATTCTATATTATTTTAGATATAATACATTTTTTTCTAATTATTATGAATTTCAATACACTATGTGTCCCTTGCGTCGGTGAAGTGGTGCTAGTATGATCATCGAACGTCAAAAGTCATGAGCGTCGATGGCGACGGTGTGCTGGTGCGACGTCTGTTCGTTGTGTCCGCACATGTCATATGTTCGTGATCGGTCGAGTACATTCTCAACGTCGCAGTTCGACGATGAGAAGAAAACTCAACGTGGCGTTCCACAGGGACGAGCAAAAAATATCGATATTTTACATTTTTAGTATTGATATTCATCGTTTCTTTTTCAAATTCAAATTTTTTTAATTTATGTTGTACAAAAAAAAATGTTATCGGAATTTTTTCCCTCTAACTTTTTTACCATCATCATGTATCGAATAACTTACAAGTTATTTGTTTAATGGACATATATAAAACATAATAGTAAAAACTTGTGATTAAAATTATGACTTATTTTTTCTAAATTTCTGATCATTATATTAGTTTAGAAACATTTATATAAAAATGTAAATAAAATGGAACATTTTAGTTATAATTTAAATGATAATAAGTCTTTATTTATTTATAATTTATTAATAATAATAATAATATATAAATATATTATTAAAATGTTTCAAATGTTGAAATTCTACGTATTCAATTTTATACATCTAAATAAATAAATGTATAAATTTTGTGAAAATTAATAATTATAAAATTTATTAGATTTTCTTAAACTAAGTGCACTTATAAGTTATGAAGTTAATTATTTAGTGGTAATGTAATTAAAAAACAATTTTTACTGAAACTATTAAACTAAAACAATTGTCTGGTCAACATTGTCATAATAAAAATTGTCCATGATAAACGACTAAAAATGTTAAGGTAATTCACATTAGTATAAATCAATAATGTACTAATCTTACGAGTAAGGTACTTGAGTGAATAATTTACGATCCGAACACATAGAACCTATTTA